TGTATGTGCTAGTATAAGTTCTATAATTGTGATATATTATATATTATGGATTGTCTGAATATATTGATTAGCTTTTCACATATCAAAGTTTACTTGAAATGATTATTTAGAAACTAGAAAGGGGCTTTTGCAAAAATCTTGTAATACTCAATTCACCCCCCTGTTGAGTATAGAAGCCACATTCCTAACACTTTCCCTTGTTGGCTTCGTCCCCGTTTCCATCTCGGCTTGGATTAGAACCAGACCCGGGCCCTGAAGTGGTCATTTATAATTTGAAAGATGGTAAGATTGAGAGGAAAAGAACCCCAGAATTTTGAAATTAAGGAAGGAATGAAGAAGAAAGCGCTTGGAGGTATGAACACAACCCATAAGACAACCCCAAATTCAAAAATCAACCCAAAACTTAACAACTTCTCACAGTTAACGTTCGCAAAATAAAATATTGAATGAGTAAGGAAATAGCGTACATACCTGTTTATGGGAAAGAGAAAAAGCAACTATGAGTTTGCTCCCAACAAGAACAAGTAGAAAGATAGAGTTCAGTTTGAAGCCCCCAGAAGAAAGAAGGTAGAAAATGAGAAACAGAAGCAATGCACCTCTATATACAAACACTTGCATGCAACGAACGAGAAAACAAAAAGGCGATGGAGAGTTGAAAGGCCAAGGGTAAAGCCGTAAATGTACATACAAGGCATTTAATACATGCCATGATGACCTGAAATGGCGCAGAACGACTCACACTCCGTGATGCACGAACATCCAATCACGAGAAGACACATGGAAAGACGAAACTGCCAAAAGCAGCGAGAAGCCAAAAAGTCACATATGCTCAATGTCGAACTCGGATAAAGGAAACTCCTAAACCGAGGTCTACAATGAAAGCTAAGAAACAGGTTAACTTCACTTAAGGATAACCTAATATAGCTATTGGAGACCCCTGGAACCTCCAAATCAAAACTTGTAATCCGAGCTCTGACAAAAGAAGGATCATAACATCTCAAAAAGACTGAGGTTGAAGACAAGCTATTCATCTTGGCGTCAAAACCTCGGATCTACCGAGCTAGGGGGCAACTGTTATGGAATATATCCATATCATAACCATATATCCCACATATCCCGTAAGGGATAAGGGCACATCTACCTCAACAACAAGAGATAATAAAGATAAAAGGGATATAACCCTTATCCCTACAAGCTAGAGGTTGAATCCTACACCAACTGGGAGATTTAGATAGCACAAGCCCAAGAGGTAACCCCTATAAATGAAAGGTTAAAGACCCCAGGTACAAACTTTTAACCTATTTACGATTACTGCCAACATTGTTTCACACACCCACGTCTTGACTATAAGCCTATTGTTTGTGCGCAGTGATTAGGATATTGGCTATAAGCCAACCAAGATATCTATCTCGAAGTACCATATGGTATAGTTCCATGGTCCTCTAGGACCAAACAAAATTTAACAAACATTTTAGCGTGTAGCAATTCGAGAAACTGAAATCTACAACATTAGCTTCAGTATTTGTTCTCTTCAAACCCAAAATGCTTAATTAGGTCATGCTATGAAGCATGCCTAAGTCTAAAACCAAACCAGAACCAACAGAAAAAGACATTGCAACTCGATTTTAACATAAGAACTATACCAAATGTTCACAAATTCCAAAAGGCAACCTATCTGACTCGCTACAATTGTAAAATAGTAACAGGAATAGAGGACAGAGGAATTCAGGCAGAAGTCCAAGAGACAATGAGCTATTCTGGGAATTTTTTGAACTTTTTTGGACTAGTCACCTCTTCTTTCAAATGATATCCTATTTATAGAATTTAGTGCGAACTTCTCTTCTTGTTAATTTGGTCTTTCCATTTGAGGGCCGACACCTTATTTTTTTCTTTGGATTTGATCTTCTTTGGAGTTATTCAAATGGTGTTGAATCAGCCTTGATTAAAAGTGAGTGAAGTTAGTAGCTCGGTTGGCGTTAGGGAACATATTAGGTGGATGTGAGAGCATGTGTTTGATACTCCCCAATACCATCTTTGGGAGATATTTAAAGCCTTAATCCCGAGACTCGCCCCGAATTGGAGTAGTCGCGAAATGATAAACTGATTAGATTATGTCCAAAAAAAATGTGAGTGAAGACCTTCTGGTGGAGCGCATCTTTTGTACTGCAGGTGCACCAATCACTAGGTGCGACGATATATTTACATTATGTACTACCTATAATGTATAGTGTAAAATACAAACGTTACTTTTTTTTTTCTACAATAGCAAGTGACATGGCACGCTTCTATAAGTTCGTTGTACCTACTCCCTTAATATACTAGATTTTTTGCTTTTGGTGAGACTCTTCCGTCATGCTTTTTGGTTAACAATGTATTCCTTTGATGTTGACATGACTTGTTTGTTAGAAGGAATCTTTTTCAAGCTTCCCTCCCTTTTTAGCCATGCTTCAGCTTTGCATTTCTATGATTTACTCTTGGGCTTTTTGTATTTCTTTTAGCATTACGCTTCAGCCCAATGGACTTTCCTGCAACAGCACCCAAAAGTTTAAGTTAGTCCTTTTTTCCCATCTTTTTGAGTAAATTGTCATACAATCTGTAAAGAACCAATTCAACCCAAAAGCTTAAGTTATTGGGTGAGGCTACATTAATAGTTTTATATATCTCAACACAACCTTTAAAATGGTCACTCAATTCGAAAATTAGCAACAATAACACAAAAAAATATATTATAAGCTTGAGAAATAGTCATTCAATCCCTTTCCAATAGAGTAGATAGATCTCTTAATTGGAGATCTATGAGACGGTTTACATGATATGGGTGATTTAACTGCTTTAGTAACCCAAATGATAACCATGAACAACACTTTGAAAATTATGTCTATGGCTGCTAACTCATAACACCTTAGAACATGTTTCCTGCATTTTCTATGAAGGTCCTCACTCATTTGCTAATTGTCCAGAAAATCCCGTGTCTACTTGCTTTGTTGGAAGCTATATATAACTGAAATAGTAGTGTAAAGAACCACTTCAACCCAAAACCTTAAGGTGTTAGGTGAGGATTTTTTTAATGATTTATATTATTCTCTAATAAGTAGTCCATTTTTCAACACCTATAATCCAGGGTGGAGGACCTTAACTTGTCATATGAACAAGGTTCAAAAGCTGGATCCTTAGCATTCCAAAATAGGCCTCTAATTTCCCCAAGGATTTAAACAACATAACAAGGGCAAACATAACTCATAGAACCACCCCCCTCACCCTTTGAAAATTTTGTGAAAGAGTACATGACAAAAGATTATTCTCTAATCCAAAGCCAAGTGGCAACATTACAGAAAAATCTTGAGATTCAAATAGGCCAGACAACTTCGAAGATTCAAGAAGAAAGGGCAAGGAGCATTGCAAGGCTATTGAACTTAGAAATATCAGAGTACTCACTGCACCTATACAGAATCAAGAAAGATGTTTTGAAGAATCAGTGCAACAACCATATGCCCTATGATGCACGGACACGAATACGGACATGGGACACGACACGACACGCCGACACGTTAATTCTAAAAAATGTCATATTTCGACATGTTGGGACACATTTTGATATTAAATAAAAATTTTAATATATATATAATATAATTTATATTTAATACATATAAGAGTCCATAATAAGTTATATAACCAATCAAATATTTAAATTTCATAACATAAATATAAATATAAATAATTTTTCGTACTTTGTTAATTTTTCATGTCAAATTTCATAACAGAAAAAATTAATTTATAAATTTTTCTTTTATATTTAGTTAACAAATAAAATTAAGATTTAAAAATAAAATAAAATAAATAAAAAAAAAGTGTCCGAGCGTTGACCGCGTGTCCAAAAAAGTTGACTGCGTATCAAAAAAACGTGTCAGAACGTGTCCGAGAGTTGACCGCGTGTCTCTAAATGTTGACCGCGCGTCGAACATGTGTCCGACTCGCAAATTTTCAGAAAAAGACGGTGTCCGTGCTACATAGCATATGCCTATATAGAACATGATGTAAATCTTAATCAACAAGGCATGCCTGAAAAGAAAAGGAGCAAACTGCAATAAAAGAATAATTTTTAAAAAATTAAAATCTTTTAAAATATCAAGAACAAACTTATATCTTAATTGATATTAGTTGAGTAAAATGATGATATGTGTTCAATTCTCTATGTAGATACGTTCCTCCATTCTTACCTACTTCTTTTTTCTTTATCAATTTGTTCTTTGATCCTCCTTTTTTTATTTACATACATATATGTATGCGTGCTCTCTAATTCCATTATGTTTTTAATGATATATACTAGTATTAAGTATTAACTATGAAAACATCGATAGTTTTTCAATGAAGTTTTTATTTAAACGCGAATAATAAATAAGCCATAAATATCAACGCCAATGCGTAACAAATAAAAGCTTTGCTATAATTAGATAACAAACCCTTAATAAGGAAGTTATTCTCCTAACAAATATTGGAGTTTTGTGCAATGTTTTTCATTAATTTGCTTTTAACAATTTGCCTCATATTCTTAGAGAAGCTATTTATTAGGACGGAATAATTTAATAGAAAAACATACAATAAATAGTTACGTGCCACATATGAGTTTTTAATTGATTTTTTTAATATTTCTTTTTATAGTTCACTCCAAAAAAATAAACAACTTCTTCTTGAAAAGGGTCGCAGGATACAGCACATCTCATACTGTAAATATAGTTAATTAGATAAAGTTATTCTAGACGTAATATCCGTTAATGTGACAATTTTCTTTTGTTGTGATCTCAATTTGTTTCACTTGTGCATTGATAACAAATCCAAATAATAAAAACTCCTAAATTAGGAAATTGAGCAAGTTGTGACAGAGAACTTTCAGTTTTAAAATCTTATCATCATCAATATAACAAAGTCTATATAATGTGGCATCATTGTCTGAGATCAAAATGTGCAGAGAAAGAAAAGTCCTAGAACAATAATAATAAAAAATGGCAGGTGGGGCTTTTGTTGCAACAAGTGGTGGAAGGGAATATGAAGGGAAGGTAACAGCATTCGTGTTGGTGACATGTTTTGTGGCAGCAATGGGAGGTCTTCTATTTGGTTATGACCTTGGTATTACAGGAGGAGTTACTTCAATGGAACCATTCTTGATAAAGTTCTTCCCAGCTGTTTACAAACAAATGAAAGATGAAACAAGTCATGATAGTCAGTACTGCAAATTTGACAATGAACTCCTTACATTGTTCACCTCTTCCCTATACCTTGCTGCATTGGTTGCCTCTTTCTTTGCTTCCACTACAACCAGAATGCTTGGTCGTAAGCCTTCTATGTTCTTAGGTGGCTTGTTTTTCCTTGTTGGTGCCTTGCTCAATGGTTTTGCTCAAAATATTGCTATGCTTATCGTTGGTCGTTTGTTGCTTGGTTTTGGTGTTGGATACTGCAATCAGGTATATATATATATATATAATCAAGTTTAAATGTTTCAATGAATGAACATTAAAAACAACAAAGTTCTTAATTAATTAATTGGCTTATTCTCTCCAACATGTATTTATAATATGTGTACACAGTCTGTTCCAGTGTATTTGTCCGAAATGGCTCCAGCAAAGATCAGAGGAGCACTCAACATGGGGTTCCAAATGATGATTACAATTGGTATCCTAATTGCAAACCTTATCAACTATTGGACTTCCAAGCATCAAAATGGATGGAGAATTTCCTTGGGAATCGGAGCTGTCCCTGCAGTTTTGTTGTGTTTGGGATCTGCTTTCTTGGGTGACACGCCAAACTCATTGATTGAAAGAGGTCAACATGAAAAAGCAAAGGCAATGTTGCAAAAGATTCGGGGTACCGACAACGTTGATGAGGAGTACCTAGATCTCATTGATGCTAGTGAGGAAGCTAAAAAGGTTGAACATCCATGGAAGAACATTGCACAACCAAAATATAGACCTCAACTCACATTTTGCACTTTGATTCCATTCTTCCAGCAACTCACTGGCATCAATGTTATCATGTTTTATGCACCTGTCCTTTTCAAGACTTTGGGATTCGGTAACGATGCTTCCCTCATGTCTGCTGTTATCACTGGCGGTGTCAATGTTGTTGCCACTTTTGTTTCCATCTTCAGTGTTGACAAGGCTGGAAGAAGGATCTTGTTCCTTCAAGGTGGCACCCAAATGTTTGTTTGCCAGGTGAATTAAAATCAAGTTTGTTTTAATTAGACCATATACTTACTTTCATGTTTTTTCATTATTCTTGTTTTGTGAGCTAGCATGACTAATATAATTAATTAACCATTGCTTTTGCTTGCTTGCTTGTATATATGATAGATTGCTGTTGGAGGGATGATTGCTGCAAAGTTTGGACTAGGCGGAGAAGGGTCATTGAGCAAAGGTGAAGCAAACTTGCTATTGTTTTTTATATGTGCGTATGTTGCAGCATATGCATGGTCTTGGGGTCCATTGGGATGGTTGGTGCCAAGTGAAATATGTTCTCTTGAAGCGAGATCTGCAGGGCAAGCTATCAATGTTGCTGTGAACATGTTCTTCACCTTTGTCATTGCTCAAATCTTCCTCACAATGCTTTGCCATTTCAAGTTTGGCCTCTTTTTCTTCTTTGCTGGCTTTGTCCTTATCATGACTATCTTCATTGCACTCTTGTTGCCTGAGACTAAGAACGTCCCAATTGAAGAAATGAGTAGAGTATGGAAGTCACATTGGTTCTGGACCAAGTTCATTCCTCAGGACCATGTTGTCACTGCTTGATATCAACAACACAACCCTTTTCCTTCTTCTCCTTCTCCTTAAAGTTTCTTACAATATTTTTTTTTATTTTTTGCAGCAAAACAGACACATTAAACTCATAGTATAATAGTATCTAATAAGATGTATTTTGTATTCCTTTGAAATCTATATATCAATATTTTGTATTCCTTTAAAATCTCGCAACTAAAGCAAGTGATTCTATTTGACTTTCTTAAAAGGATTGGATGTATTTCCCTATATTTTGCTCGGAAAGTCTATTTACACACGCACACAAAAGAAAAAGGTAAAATAAAATTTACGCCAATCTGAATAATCTGCAGTTAAAAAGAAAAAGAAAAAGAGAGAACAATAGATATTATATAGTTTAAAATCTGACAACTTATTTTTTTAGCATTTAGATGGTGAGATATGGTCTTTTTTCTTGGAATAAGTGAAGTATTTCCCTATAATTGTGTTACTAGTTATTGGTATGGATCAAATCTCAAAAGACAGTACTGAGGTGTGATTTTTAGCAGCGCAACATCTTTGCGCATATTGTGTAGAAGATGTCTCCTCAATCGCAATATAAATAGATGGGAAACATTTTCCAATGATGTGTCATAGAAGGAGTCATAACCATTTTATCCTGATAGGTCTCACTACGTGTAAGGCAAGCACATTTACCTCATGTGTGACGTTTTAAGATGTGCTGCACACGAGACTGTGAACCCTTATTTTTTCGTTAGTGGTTGGCCCATTGGATTAGGCCGTAAATAACAAAGAGGAAGTTATTTTTGAGTAGCGTTCTTTCATCTGCTATGGCAGTTATTTTGGAACAATTTCTTGAACTGCACAACGAGGAAGTTTTCGTGTCTGAGCTTTTAAAAAAACTTTTTTTATGTATTGATTTTTTAAAAGATAAAATTATTTTACGTTTGAATATATGATCTGAAAATCACTTTTACATAAAAAAAAATTATTTGGATGTTAAAATAAATAAAAAAAACTTTTTGTAACATCCCGCATAATTAGGAACTTATATTAATTATAATTAAGACTGTGAAACATGCTTGAAACCCGAATTGAATATAGGTGTAGTATGGAATTAAATTAAGTAGGAAAAAATTAATCTATGGTTAGTATGAGTAAGTATATATATGCTTTAAGAAACTAAAATCTCTGGTTAAAAGAATAGGATTGATTTAATATGATCTATAAAATATTTGATTAATACTTAGAAGAATTAAGAATAATAAAACATATAAGGTAAGGGTCATGAGGAGAGGAATTGGACCCTCACTTACACTCATGGGTTTCGGCCCAATGTTTTGGGATCAGCCAAGCTAGCCAACCTCTTAGTTAATCCAATATCTTACCTCAAGGAAATCTGAATGAGTGTTCCCCCATTGGTCAAGTCAGAATGCATGTGAACTCATTGGGCAAAACACACACACCTATCCTACTTACTCTATAGTCCGCGCAAGGGAGAAAAAGAAGCAAAGGTTAGCCTTTTGGTTCAGTACACTAATTAACATACCATGTCGTTTTCCTTGAATCCATGCGCCAGTACCCTCCTCAATAGAAGACTGGTTGTTGCTTTTGATTCAGAATCAAACCTAATGAACCTCTTCCCCAAGACCGTAGACCAACTAGAGAATGGACCAGAGTTTGCATGTTAAATTCCTCCCTTGTTTCCCTCTAAACCATGAGCAATTAGAGAAGAAAAACGTCATATAAGTCTCATTCATTTGTTCCTCACTGATTCAGTCAGGAGCAGTAATCTAAAGGGACAGCATCGTGAGCTCCTTATCTTCTCCTCCCTCTTGTTCAGCCGAAGGAAAACTTCAATGAGGTCCAGCCTTGGTTGGGTCCTCTTCCCCATTACATGCCGCTGAAAATCGATTTAATACAAGGAAGACCATTGTCATTTATTCTGACCCCCTTCTTTCTTGTACGCAAGAGCAAGAAGGAGAAGATGCAAGCACACAGCTGGGTAGTCGGTTCTCCTAGTGTTCGAGCTAATTTTTAGTGTACAAACAGAAAGGTATTGAACCAAACCTAAAACCCTCTTGACTCTATTTGTTCGGCTGCATGTGTACTAAAGAAGAATATAATTCTGTTCATCCCTGTCTCACTGTTAAGTTCGCCCAATGCATGAAATTAAGAAGTATTAGGAGTAATTCCCTTTTCACCTTCTGTGCGGCTGTAAAACTCGTGGTCTTTGGTGTTGGAAATCGACAATCACACATAATCGAGAAAACAGAAAAAGAGATAAGAGTAGAGAGATTGACACGATGATTTACCCTGGTTCACCCAATATAGGCTACGTCCAGCTTGTCTGTACTATATTCACCTCAGCGCCACTCGTTACAAGTCTCTCGGTTTACAAGGCAAATATAAATAGGATTACAAGAAATCCTAACAGCAGCTATTCATGGGCCCAAGCCCAAACTGCTAAGAAAATTACAATAGAAACAGAGGCCTAACCGGGGCGGCTCCCCCGGACCCCCGCCCGCTCACCTGGAAGCGGGACCCCAGTTGCCTTTCTGCTGACCCCGACAATTAGGGTCAACATCATCATGTGAAGTATGAGCCATACCCAACATTTGGTATGTAAATTCAAAGAATTAATTTTGTGAAACTAGAGAATAGTTCCCTGTTATGCGCTTGGGTTGTCTCTTGAACCAGTACAGGAATCTAACTTTCCTTGCTGTAAATACGTGAGGTCAGCATGTTGAGATTAAAGTGGTTGGAACTAAGTGAATTAATAGAGCTTGTTAAACTCAAACCCGCTCTTTTACCCCACCGATTTAACTTGCATGTGCGCTTGGGAGAGAGAGAAGTTATTCTGTTGTCATGGCTAGCTCTTTGTTCTGTTTTGTAAACAGTCCATGATCTTAGTGCATGTGAGTTAATGAACTGATCTTGGGAACTTGGGTCATGGTTCACCTTAAGTTCGGAACTGTCTTTTTAATTAGAAGCAAATTATCAAAGCTTACATGTACTTAGGGTGAAGTAGACGGCTTATTAAAAGAAAACCACACGAACACATGTTGTGTAAAAGGGCTATGTGAATTAAAAATAGTAGACTCCTAGGGAATGGTGGAGGAAGCGAACTGTATATGTATTTAAGACTTGGGACTTCTCATAGTTAACAACTTGGTTACATAACATTTCAGTCAGAAAATTTAGCTAGCTAAGGACTATGAAATCGGTTAAAATACAAGAGTTAAAGAGCATTGATATCAATTATGAATTATAGGAATCAGAATTTGAAATTCTGTTTTTGGCTTGCTTGCTTAGGTGCACGTAACCCTTATTGTGTGGGCTGAATCTTGGTGCTAATTGATTATTGCTTGGACATAAGGTATGTGTAGGCGGTATTACCTAATGTGACTATTGGCTAGTGTATGGAATTGTGATGTGTTGCTCACATTTGTTCTATGTATGTTATGATGATGATGAGCCAATGGTAAGAATATGAAAGGATGATATGATATATGCATGCATTTTACATCATAATACATTTTTCTGTTGGGTGCGATTGCATAACATGGCATGTATACTTGATTCATGACATCTTGAATATATATATATTTGTATTGAGGACATGTGACTGAGCATGCATCATATAGGCATGCCTGGTACCAGGAGAGGGGACACTTGGCTTCAGTCCGCATAGGTTCCACAGTGGGATTCACCTTCATGGGAGCCATTAGGAATACCCACTGTGATGCTACGCGCACGACGGTGCTATGAGCGTAAAGGAAAAAGGGCGTTATATACGCGTTATGATATATGATGAAAAGGATTAAATGTTTGAAGTGACTATTTATGATTTTGTGCCTAGTTAATATTGTTGTATTATGGTTTTTTGCCACACTACTGGGATTTTCTCTCACCCCTTTGGGGCTGCTATTTTTACAAAATGGCAGGAGGACGTAAAAGCTTTTGAGGACTTGGATATTTGTTGTTGGCTTCTACTGTTTGGGCATGCTGCTATTGATGTGATATTTTATGGATGACTGTATGAAATTGAGAAGCTTTTATTACTGTGAACTATGATTTTATTATTGCATTACGATTTTATGACCAGCAAGTATTTTGGAAACAGATGTTGAAACGTTTGCGAAAAGGATTTTGACATGTTATCTAAATGCTGAGTTTTGAAAAGTCGTTGCGAGCACTTTGTAAGTTGTCGGGGCTAAGGACCTCCGATTTTCTTATAATTTATATGCACGCGTAGTCCCAGGTGTCTAGTTTCATTATATATAAACCTTGCAAAGAAATTCTGAAAGATTGATTTATTATGAATTTTACCAGCCAGGACATTTGTGATATTTCCACTACTTTCTCTCTTATTTTGCGAGTTATGTTTTGAGGGGCAAACAAACTTCAAATTACTATTATTCTATATGAACGCGAAGCCCCGGATGTCTAGTTTCTAGATTACAAAGAATATATTTTTGAATCGTTGAAGTGAATTCTATAAGAATTTTTAAAGACAGCATGGTCTGCCAGGAAAGTTATATTTTCAGTAGTTGAGAAATTTTGAAAGTATACTCGGAGTTTTGTGAGGAACCCGATTTCAAAAATAAAATTATTTTAATTGGCATTGTAAAAGTGATTTTCAGTCTCTAAAATATGATTAAAGAACTCTAATCCGCTTAGCAAACAACTCTCTTGGATGCATACAAGGGAGGGTGTTACACTTTTTATATATAAAATTACAATAAATGAGAGATAAAATAGCATGATCATGGAATAAGAAGAGATAAAATAGATATGATAAGATAAGGTTAAAATTATATTTTAAAAATTTATATTATCTTATTTCTAAATAAAATTTATATTATCTTTTAATTTTTACTTTTTTCAAAAGCAACAAGTTATTGGTTAAAAAAAAGCAGCATTTTAATTTTTATTTTAAATTTTACTTTTTTAAAAAAATTGTTATTCAAATATCTAAAATTTCTCAAAAGGATTTTTATTTAAAAAAAAAAACAACTTTTTTATGAATA